TGACATGAAGACTCGTTCCAAGGGTGTCTCCATCGCTACCATGACTTCGTACGCCTTCAACACTCTCATCGGTCAGACCACCTCTGTGGCTCTCGATGACAAGCACGGCATTGGCTGGCGCTGGTATATTCTGTTCATTGTAAGTCACCACAAAGGCTGGCGCAAAGTTCAACACATGCAAGTGTCTAACACGCATTCTCATAGGTTTGCAACTTTACTAACGCCCTCTTCTTCTGGGCATTCCTCCCCGAGACCGCTAAGCGTCCTCTGGAAGAGATGAGATATCTCTTCACTGAGGCTCCTCTCTTCATCCCGACCTTGGACATGTCGACTGTTGAGTCCCACGACCTCGAGCGCAGGGTTGAGGCGGTTGAGCAGAAACGCGAGGAGCATGGAAGCGAGCACATTTGATTCGTCAATAGACCTCACTCACACAGACACACAAACACTCCCATAATACCCAGGCACACATAGTACTTAATGTAACATTTAGCGCACTGGTCTGACTGTAGATCCAGTTTGACGCTTTATCAAAAACCAAAATGAGTCGATCCTTCGCACATTGGGTATACTTGTACACAATCATGGTTCCTAACGCCATGCCCACCTCGTAGCCATCAACCGACCTTCCCATTCTCCTTCTAAGTGATGGCACTCCATATTGTTTGACGTCCACCCGCGGTCGTCTGCCCTTTATCTGTAACCGTGTGTTGGTGCTGGTCTCGCCACGCCGTGGTGGCCTTGATGACCATGCCCGTAACCTGGCCCGTGTCCGTAGCCGGACTCCATCATTGCCGGACCGCCGCGGCGCTGGCGACCGAAGCGAGAGAACATGCCTCCACCTCCGCCGCCGACTGGATGCGGTTGACGACCGCGCTGCTTACGTTTGTTTCGGAAGCAGCAGCAGTAGCAGCATAGGACCCAGAAGGCAATAAAGATAAAGCCGGCAATAGCAATGCCGATGATGGCGCCAGCGGCAAGGCGTCTTCCGCGTCCAGCCTGGTTCCTTAGTCAATATATTGCCATCAAGAAGTGGACTTCAAGGGGAGACCGAGACCAACCATTGCTTAGGTAGACGGGTGCGGTATTGATAGTAAAATCACTGAGTCGTCTGAATCTCTGCTGGTGGATGATGTGGGCGAATTGGCTGACGGACGGAGAGTCTGTGTAGATAGAGAAGTATTGTGAGCTGAGTGCACTGTACTTGGTGTTCCATCACGATGGTAGGCAGCCTTATATTAATCCTACCCGTTACGACTTCTGGGCACACGACATACTTGGCTTGTCCCAATTCCTGGCCATGTCGAATAGTGTCACGTCATGAACATGGCTGAGAGCGCTATGGTGGTCAAAACACGTCAGCAGGGGAGCTCGGTGTGGCGCATTCCAAGAAAAGTCGTTCTTTGGTAGCTCAAGGAGCAAGGTTCTCACCGTCCCCGTAGCCCCAAAGTTGCACTCAGTAAATCAGATCCCAAGCCAGTGAACGGTAGAAGTGCCGTCTGGTGCTACGCCTAGCTCCACGGTGACTTCATCGTCCAACTTGGCTCGCGGTCGACGCGTGGCTGGTGCCTCGGTGGGGCCGGCCCGAACGGCACATTGACGCGGCGCCAAGGTGGGCCGGCAATCCGGCACCGCCGACATATTTTTGGTGTCTCCTCGGCAGCACCGACCCGGCTCGAGTGAAGCCTTCAAGATTCTGTTCCTCAGTTCAATTTTTCTGATTCTTTCTACTTCAGCTACCTAATGGATTGACCCAAATTGAATGCTTGGGACATCTCATGGAAGTCAAGATTCGCGTGATATATCAAGGGTCTCAAGCAATTTGGTTGTATCCATCTGCCGGTAGAAAACCGGAAGACACAAGGGGAGTGTATCATAGTCTTGTGTGAAACCTGCAGAGTAGAGGCGCTAGTCCTTGGTTTGTCGCCTGCAATTCACGTGAATTTGATCAGCAATCAGGTAGCATTCTCCCTACCTAATTTACCTGTACATAGTGAGTGGGTTGTGATGCCCGGTATTACATGACAGGTGACTTTTTGAACATGACCTAAAATAATCGTAATGCCCCGCTACTACCTTATATCCCACCGCGAGCGGCCCACTGTAGAAGGGCTGAGGGAAAGAACATGGATCGAAGCCTCCAGCAAGTTGGTGGCTTCTACATGAAAGTTCAATCTTGAGTGTGGCTTTGAATTCGTACCGAATTTGACCGGTAAACATTATCGGCAATCCTGAGTCAAGTCTAGTCATCTCAATTGGGTATTTCTTGGACGAACGCCCTATTTCCTGGGCAATTACCTACAGCTCGGGCCTTCGAGCTGACGCCAGGCTATGACTGTGGCTATGTACGATCCGCTGCACAGTTGCACATTTGCATCAATGACCGCGAAGAAAGCTGTCAATAAAGAGTACTGCAATCAACGTGACTTTGCCATGCGATGATTCATACCATCAACAAGACCGACCGTCTTCGTACCACTGAATTGAAACTAGGACATCGACGCCTCGAGCATCTTCCCTCTGATTGATCAATCGCCACCTTTATGACTCGTGAGGTGAATCTTGTAGAACGTCCTGCCTCGAATGCCTACCAAGAGCCTAATTCAACGCTATTTTCATCAACGTTTGTTGAGTGTTTCCCTCAGGTTCCACTACGTCTAGATCTTATTGTGATCAGTGACTTGACGACCACGGTTGCTATACAATGTAGGGTTGGATTCCGGGTAGCCGGCGCAGAATCCCGACCAGTCATATCCGCCAACATAGTAGAAGAGCTTCCATTCGTCCCCCATCTCGCAGGCCCTCTGAGATAAAGCATTTGCTAATCGAGTGTGGGGGTTAACAATCCAAGAGCAGTTTGGTCATTTTTCTTGAGCCTTTCCCGGACGTTCAACACCCACAGAATCACCAACGAACTGTTGCCGTTGTCCTACGCCGAAATTTCAAATAAATCTTATGATCAGATATGGTCTTCCATCTGTGTATAGTCCACTAAGTTGCTGAACCCGTCAAGCTGCTAATGGTGCTCTGGGCCGGCTGAAAGTCTCCTGCTGCCAATTGGCAAGCCCTTAAGTTGATAGGCACCAGCCAAGACATGCTCACCATTACCCACTTACCTCATTCTGAGTGTCAGTTGCCACGCTGAAGTGTGGGCATTGCCGCTCAATGCCGCTCAAGTGTACATGATAGGTCAGATGCCTGATGGGTAACTTATAAGGGACGGCCCGCATGCATTCGTGATAAATCCACGTCAATTTTTTTTTATCCTCTAAAAGACACTCAACGAGGCACAATGGGCTACCTACTTAAACGTTCCCATTTCAGACTGGATCACGCGGCTTTCCTACTCAAAGAAGAAAACCCAGCTCTTGGCAGTCAGCACAGTACACCAGTTTGCATGGGGTTCGCACTGGAGCAAGAGCCTGATTTGCAAAAAAAATGGGATGTATACTGGTCGCAACCAACGAGCAAACAAAGCAACTACTAGGGTCACCAGCAAATAGGAAATAGGCGCCGAGAAATAAGGATTTCTATACAGTGGGGAAGAAATTTCGAAGACTCTTCTTGATTCGGCGTATCGACAACCACCTTGTTGCGACGACATTAAGCTGAAGGTAATTGCATCTTACTTATGGAGTCCGATGTACATCTCACAGCCACTCCACGCCGCACAGCTACATACGGCGATATGGGTCTCCAATTTCAGCCTGGAATTTTCATTCTCATCCGTTTTGATCACTCTTTCTTCATACTCTACACAGAAGAAGTTGCCATACGCCCCATTGTCAGTCACCATGCTTCATGTTCTCGCAGCTATTCTCACGACTGTAATCCGGACGGTTGCCGGCCAAGGGGCATGTTTCGTGCCCAACGGTACCAACAGACATGATTTGACCAACGCCAACATCCAAAAGTATGCGTCTTGCGAAAGTTCTGGACACGGTATGTGTTGCAATATCGCAGGAGACAAGTGTCAGGCGGATGGCCTGTGTTGGAATGAGGAGCACAAGCAGCTCTGGCGGGAAAGCTGTACAGACCCTACTTGGGAATCACCCAAATGTTTGAAACTGTGTGTCACAGATGATTACGGTAAGCTTCCTTTCTCCGGAAACAAAGCATAGTAACACGGAATTTCAATTGTCAGACACTGGCTGTCGCAGAAAGCAACTGACTAGTGAGAGCGACGTGAGTGCTGACAACCACCAAGAATCAGACGACGGTATACCAGGAAGCGGAATGGATGTTGTTATTACCAAATGTAGCGATGGCAGCTATTGCTGCGGCGAGGGCCAGAATGCCTCAATCTGCTGCATGGCTGGGAGAGGAGTGTACATCGTCGATGGCAAAATAATCACCTCCTCTGCCGCTTCTTCGTCCAGCACGATTGTCCTCACAACCTCTCTAGCGACAGTTGGAATCACATCCGCGATCTCTTCTGCGATCACCTCTGCGTCTCATTCTGCTGATGCAAGCTCAACATCTCTAATTACTCCATCGAATCCTGCCGAATCCGCCACAAGCAACACTAACTCAACTTGGGACAATCGAAATGGGATCATTGGTGGCGCTGTGGGTGGAGGTGTCGGTCTGGCGATAGTTGGCATCGTGGCTGCCTTCTTTTGGTACAAGAAAAAGAAGAGGAACACAGAAACAGCGAAGTTTGAAGCAAGCCTCGAGAAGCAAAACGCCAAGAATTGGCCGGCTTCATCGGCTCAACTCCAGTACCGCCACGAGCTCCCAGTCAAGCCAAACCCGGTTGAGCTGGCATCCGAATCTCCACCAGCTGAGTTAGAATCAGAATCACTGTCAAGGAAATGATTCTTATATACACATCGGTCAGAAAGCATGAACTCGAGCCGCACAAAGTAGTCAGGAAGGCCTCTCAGTCTAGATATCTTTCGATTGGCGCCCTTGAGCCTAGTTGCGTGGCTGATAGTTGCACAACTTGCTTGCGAAGAAGATGGGAAATAGTGCTTCGAAGACGGTCCGCTGGTTCTACATTAATCTTTGTACACTCTAACCTTGTAATCGTCTCTCCATTTGTCCTCGATTATGACTAGTTGAGCCTTCTGCACCTTGTCTAGGTATCGGTCTTCTGGAACATCCTTGTAGTCGTCTCGGTCAATATCCATGTAGCCCTCCTTCGCAACAGTTCTTGGTGTAATCATCAACGAGCGTCCTGTAACATAGATTCTGTTAGAGGGTAAGCTTGCAAATAGTTTGGTTTCTGGGACTGACCGTTGATAGACTTGTCGCAAGCAACTCTCATCATGCAGTTGGCAACATCCTCTTGCTCCCCAAATTCGACTCCGTGGTCAATCAACCATTTTTCATACTCGGCAGTACGAATCGCACTCTTGATCCAGCACGGAGCTACGTAGACGATCCGGATGCCTTGCTCCCAACTAGAGCGTCTGGCAGTTCTCATGAACCCATGGAGACCGTACTTGGTAGAGGTGTACTCCCAATTCCCAGGGGAGTCGATCCATCCAACCATGCTTCCTGTGATAATGAAGCATCTGTCCCTGTCGTCGGTTTCTGGCTGTTGTCTGAAGTAGTGCACTGCGAGTTTCCATGTGTAGAAGGAGCCCTTGAGGTTGACATCAACGATATTGAGATTAGGCTTGACCGGCTCTCCATTTGGATCATCCAGATTCCATAGGCTGTCCCCCGAACTTCGACTAATACCAGCGTTCGCAATGACGATGTCTACGCTTTTGGAAGGACTTTGGCTTTTGGCGGTCTCGAACATTGCCTTCTGCTGATTCCAGTCCCTGATATCGCACTCCACAAACGTACAACACGCGCCGTTTGCATTCAGCTCTTTCTCGATGTCTTTGCCCCTGGCATTGACATCGCCGAACGTAACAAAAGCACCGGCTGCGACGAAGGCTCGCACACATGTCTCGCCCATGCCATTGGCACCGCCCGTGATAATGACTGATTTTCCCTTGACGTTGTGGCGATCAGGGATGATAGTGTGGTCGATTGGACCGTTGTAGGTGTACTGTGGGAGGGGCATAGCTGCGATGTGTCTTGAGCTAAGAGCTTAGATCGACTCGCCAGGGAAGAAACTAGTGAGGGAGAGACGAGAAGAGTTTGAGCGTTCAGTATGGAATCGAATATACTTCAAACGTTCGAGTATTCTGATGATGTGCAGAAGCCCAAGCTCTTAATCGATCTCTTTGTCTCTTTCAAATGTACGATGTTACCTGGTGTTCCCGGCTCTACACAACCGGGGCCGAGACAGGAGGGAGGGGAAAATTGGAGTAAGCATTAGACCCGTGAACGCCCCCAAGCTCCCGGCCATTGCCCCAAACCCCCTGGATCCCCCGCTGGGAAACCGTTTTGGGATAGCCGATGGCAATTCTGAAGATGGTTGATTTGGCGTGTAGGCTTCGGCAACCTTAGACACGGCAACCCTAAGAGGACGGTTAGGCCTAATGAGTCTATAGCGCGACTGGCACAATCGTTTAGCTGAGAATCATGTTAATCCGATGAGGCCATTCTCCGTTGGAATTGCCATAGTATGTGCCGGGTCCAATAAAGATAATGCGGACTGGGTTATCTCGGAGATCACTGGAGCGGAGCGTGTGTCTTCAAACAACATCTCTCAACCATAAAGACGAGGAAGAGGATTGCTCATCAGAGACTTCACCTTTCCGCTCAACCACTTGACATCGTGTGCTCCTGTTCTATTGAACCGCCTGGGTCAACCTTAGCTTTCGCATTTCCTTGAGGCCTTACAGCATCTTTTAACATTGCCCTCTTATTAACATGACTGCTTCCGTCGAAGCACCGGCCACCGCACCGGTCGACCCTGGCCCAGTTGCAACATCTCGCGTTCCCAATGATGTGCCACGAATGCCGGCACCAGAACTACCAGAGGTTGTCCAGGGCAATGCGAAATTTCCGCAACAACCTTCAGTAAGCAATCACAATGGCGTCAGCGACGATCCTTTCAAGCTCGACACCAAATTCGCCTACACCCCACGGAAGATCAAAGTATTCACCATTGGTGCTGGCTTCTCCGGACTCCTCATGGCCCATAAGTTTCAGCACAGGTTTCCAGAGATGCGAGATATCGTTGAACACACAATTTTTGAGGCGCATAGCGAGGTCGGTGGTACCTGGCTTGTCAACAACTATCCCGGCGTGCAGTGCGATGTTCCAGCGCACATTTATGTGAGTACCCTGCGTCAAGCATTCAACGAAGCCTCCGTGGGCTAATCATGTCTTTAGGCATTTCCATTTGACCCCAACCCAGACTGGAGTCGTTTTTACGCCAGTGGAGCTGAAATCCTCCAATACATGAAAGACACAGTCAAGAAGTGGAATCTTGATCGTGATCTTCAGTTGAACACCAAGGTTGTTGGCGCTACATGGCAGGAAGAGCTTGGCCAGTGGAAAGTTACGGTAGAATACCAGGGTGAACAGCGTGATGAATTCTGTCACGTCCTGATCTCTGCCCAAGGTGTACTTGTTCACGAATCCTGGCCAGACGTCCCGGGTCTACGAGATTTTGAGGGCCACATTACTCACTCCGCTCGCTGGGATCACGATTTTGACTACTCCAACAAACGAATTGCTGTCATTGGAAACGGCTCTTCTGGCATTCAGATCGTTCCTCAAATGGCCAAGCTACCTGGTACGGATGTGCTGAACTTGATCCGAGGACCTGCTTGGGTATACTATCGCGCTCCTCCATCCAAGCACCTTGGGAGGGATGACCCGGATCCCAACCCACGATACACTGACGAGGAGAGGAAGAAGTTCCATGATCCAGAGTACCACCTCGAGCACAGGAAGGGAATTATTTCACGCACCAACAAGTCCTTCTACATCTTCATGAAGGGCGAGAACAACAAAGAGGGCATGAGATTGGCAGCAGCGCAAATGGCAGAAAAGCTAGGCCATGACCCCGAGCTGTGCGAGAAGCTCATTCCAAAATGGGAGTTGGGGTGCCGGCGCATCACGCCTGGGCCTGGCTACCTCGAGTCATTCTTGCGACCAAACTGCAACATCACCAACAGTGCCATCACCAGTGTTTCGAAGAATGGTGTTCACACAGCCGATGGCAAGTTCTATGAGTGTGACGTCAGTAAGTGAAAAGGCCATCTACTATGACCTGAAGTGTCTGTTTTGCGGCGTATCTGACAGGTCTCTAGTTGTCTGTGCAACTGGGTTTGACGTTTCCCATCGTCCAAGATACCCAATCGTTGGAAAGGAGAACATCGACCTCGCCACGAGATGGGCTGAGGACCCTGACTCCTATGTCTCAGTTGCTGTCCCAGACTACCCCAACTACTTCATGATGATGGGACCCAACTGCCTAGGTGGTCATGGGTCCTTAGTGGAGTCTCTGAACTGGACAGGAGACTACTTTGTGAAGTGGGTGAAGAAAATGGCTACAGAGGACATCAAATACGTTGAGCCCAAACAAGAGGTTGTTGATGCATTTATCAAGTACAGCGACCAAGTACACAAGACACTTGTATGGAGCGGTGGCTGCAAGAGTTGGTACAAGAGGAATCGTGTCGATGGCAGGGTTACAGCTCTATTCGGTGGCAGTGCTCACCTTTTCAACCGGATGCTCAGCAACATCCGCGGTGAGGATTTCAATATTTGCTATCGTACATCAAATCCTTTTAGGTTCATGGGCAACGGTTTTACGGAATGGGAAATGGATTCAAAGAGCGACTTGTCTTGGTATGTAGAGAAAGCCGAAGTTTTGGGCAAGGTTTGAGTCCATGCTCCGAGCCGAGGTCGAATCATTAGATTAGTACTAGCATTTTCAGTAACAGAGTGTTTAATTGTTCAGTCCGATGCGCTGGCAGTATTGATTCATTTCCATTGTCAGACTACTAGTACCTTAGCTTACTCCAGTCACTATGTGCAAAGCCTGTATCGACCCGCCTTCGTGGCTTTCATCCAGGGACCATAAAGTCCAGACGGTAATCTACAAAAGGTTCGAACAAATCCTCAAACTGATTAACGAGTGTCTCATGGAATAGCGCATTATCCGGAGACGGGAAACCCCTTGTTGCTGTGCCATGGGCCCGACCAGTCAACAGACTGTCAGCGATTCCTCCAGTATGTTGTGTAGCGAATGGGAACAGGGCAGTCCAGTCAAAGTCATCGAAACCTCCTCTGTCCAATGGGACTGCCTCGACATTTGGTGGATCGGAAATGACAACGCCAGTTTGATCATGGATGGGCTCAATATTCTCTGCCCCCGGCCTTGTAACTCGTATCGCACCTGAGCTGGTACCCCTCAGACGTGAAAAGCCCTGCCTGATGACGTTCGCGGAACCCCACATGATCTGAAGCTGGTCTGCTGCCCTCACGAGGATGTCAAGACAGTCATTGGCATCTTTCGCTAAGTGCGGGATTTGACAGGCCTGAAGTAGTGGTATGAATGCCGTTCCAGTGTACCAGCAGGTGATTGCCATCAAAAAGCGAGTGTTGCCTCGAGATAAGATATCGCGCAATATTCTGGCAATGCAGGATGCTGCTAATATGGCCGGAGGAAGTGCTTCTGGCAGAGTGTTGGCTGAGCGTTTGAGATGAAGGACAATGATGGTGGTGAGATATGGAAGATGTAACTGATGCACGTCTTTGTCAAAGTTCTGAGTGCGAGCTGAGCCGATGGGAAGTTGCAGGTGAGGAGGAAGAGAGTTGACCCAGTCCACCAACTCCTGTCTGTGGTGGTCTGGTGATATTTCTGCCGTAGGCAGCGTCGAACGTGAGAGTGTTTTTGCAATCCTCCCGATGATGACACAAAGGCGAACCCAGTATATAAATATCTCTCCTTTCCTCTGAGATCTGAGATCGCTTGGAAAGTCGGATAGGGTGGGTTCTTGTATATTGCAGTCATCGAGATCGATGATGGCTGGCTTACTCTGACACAACGCAGTCAAACGTTCCCGAGCCTAGCATATCTCTTAGCAAAAAGCTTGACGGGGGAGACGGTTGTTTCCAAGCCACTTACAAATGCCGTCCACCAGATTCTCCTTCGTAATCCTAGGTTCAAGTTGCCCGAAACGATTTGACTCGCTGTTGGCTCACGGTGTAGATTCATTTGCTGCGCATGACGAATGAGGACGGACGTCCACCACCATGATGAATGCCGATGAACTGTGCTTGGGGGCCGTGGAGCCCACCAGTAGAATAGAGAAACGGCCATGAGTGTAGTCAAACCATCTGCCTCTTCATCTTCGTAAAATATTGTGCGTGCCTTCTTGTAATACTCGGCCGGTCCTTCATACGGCACCAGTGGTGGCTGCACGTTGCTTGCGGCAGTTGCTAACGCATTTGCAAGGAGAGGAGATCGCGCAATATCGCTGGCAAGGGTGTCTGAATCCAGAACTGGACACCAGGCATAACAGTATTCGAAATAGGTCTCGGCGAAGCTTTCCTGGAGATCCTGCTCATGTGGATTTGAGAGACTGTACTTGTGGTCTAGGCACGCCTTCAATGCCTGTTTCTCAGCGTCAGACTGATTCTCAGGTGCATAGACCTGTAAGAATCCAGTGTCTATATCCCCAGTGTGGCTCTCAGCAACACCTTCGGTGCGTGCATCACTGCTCTGTGACCTCTGTGATGGTGATGGTGCGAGGTGGTTTTCTTGAGATCGGACAGCCGGAGCAGCTGAATGCGGGGATGAGGCATGTCTATGCTGCTCTGATATTGAGTGGCGAGAGCGGGAAGGCGGAGGCGGCGGAACAAAATCATTGAAGCCTGTGGATAGAACATGAATGGCATCGGCAACCGCGTCTGTTTGTGATACGATTCCTTCATCACCAGAAGCCGATGTCGCTGGTGGTGTCGGGACACGACTTGAATGGCCTGGCCGTACAAGACGTCGCCGTTTTGTACGCTTCGAAGGGCGAAGATGGCATTCCTTCTCCCAGACGTCACAATTCGTACAGCTCTCGTAGCCTTCAGAGGTCCTGGCCTGAGTATGGTCAGAGCAATTCGAAAATATTGCGCGTCTCTCAGACAAACCTGAAGGTCGCATTTGACCTTTTTGCCGTGGCAAACCACACAGACGAGCTCAGCTCGCCGGCGCTTGGGCTGCGACGCATCGAAAGGGAGCCATTCACTGATAGTCTCCGGCATGGCAACTCGTGGGATTTGGACAGATCGTTCGGGCAAGGTTGCTGATGAAAGACAAAGTCTAATCCTGACACTCCCTTGAACGGATTTGAGATGAGGTTACAGTGAGATGAGGGAAGTCTGCATCTGAGCCTGGGCCCAGAACCCGAGAGGGCGGAGAGGGAGCGCTGGAGCTTGGGCCGGCTGCGGAGAAATGCGGGGAACGGAGTAGTCACTAGGTGCCCAGGCTCCAGCACCCTGTCACGCTTGTGTGCTTTTGATTAGTGAAGGATCTTGGGTTCTTGGGGGGGATGTCAGACAAGGGAGCAGAGGGGGCGCGAAGGAGGGACACTTGGGGGACCCCAGGCTAATATCTTAGGGGGTTTACTAGGTCGATGGGGCTTCGAACCATTGGGTAGATGGAGCCTGAGAACAAAATGTGATTCGTACGTGGCTTCCCACATCGAGGATGGCGTTCCCACGTCGTGGGGTTCAGTTTGGGTGGCTGGTGGCTGTGGTTCCAGCAGAGATAATCGGACAGAACCACCGATTCCTAGCATCTCACTTAAACTGCCACGTGAGTCGTACGAACCGGACACTTCGGAAGCAGACTTTGACTTGAAGCGTGTCTCTTGTTCAAGTACTGTTGCTGTTCAACTCGTCTCCAATGCTGAGATCGAACGCTAATAGGCTACACGAGAGTCACGAGTGTCTCCAGTCATTGTTCACGACTGTAGTGACCAGGTTTTCGAAATCACGATTTTCACAAGATCTACCTCTGTAAATGGCATTTTACATGGCCGAATGTGAATTTGCAGAACTCTTCAAAGAGCGGATGATGTATTCAGGGAATTCGGTAATATTCTGGTGTAACTAAACCATTATGGATTGACCACGTTCCGTTCCTCCATTACAAAGAGCATCACATCAAAACAACACAGGCAGCAGAAAGCAATAGTTAAAATCTCCGTGATAAAAAGGAGAACCGACGCGATATCCACCTAGAGGATATATCTGAACTGGGGGTTCTGCCACTTGATCAGCATACTTGAACCCGTTCGAGAGCCAGGAAGTAAACGTACCTTCATGTCGGTGAGATCGTCCTCGTAGGCGTGGTCAAAGCCCTCCATGATGCCAGCCTTGTCACGCTTATTGTTGTACCAAATGCAGACAAATCGATAGACAAGGCCGAGAACTCCTGCAGCCAAAGATGTAATCACAACAACGATAAAGCCAGGAGCATAATTAGGCGCATCTTCCTTCCGAAACACCAAGGGTCCGACAAAGTTACCTGCTCGTGGAATTAGCCATCGTGAAGTTGTAGTCTAGCCGAAGACAGATTTGACATACCAAGGCAGTAACCAATATAAAGGCCGGACGAAGCAATCGATCGTTTGGTGTAACCCGAAGTGTTGGCGATCTGCAGGCCCATGAGAACGGCATATCCTCCTCCAACGGACGGCAAAATGTAGGCAGCAAAGAGAAGAGCACCTTTGGCTGACCGCGGCAATAGCCACAATAAGAGGGCAGCGAGAGTGGTTCCCATCTGAGCACCAAACACAATCCAAGTGCGGCAGTTCTTGAACTTGTATGCCAGGTATGGCATGAGGAGTTGTACAGTGCCTCCATACGCACCCGCCGGCATAGTAAGTAAGAGGGAATTGAGAGTGCTGAATCCAAAGCCGTTGATGATGATGGGAACAAATGTCGAGATGGGTCCATTTGCAATCATGCAGAGGAATGCGATGGCGAAAACCAGCCAAAACTTGATGTCAAGACCGAGCTCGCCGACCTGCTCCATCTTGTAGTGAGTGTTGCGCACGCCCGAGTTATTGCTTCGCAACCGGGCTACCAAGATGTACCTTTCTCTATCGTTGAAGCCCTTTGCGCGAATGGGGTCGGGAGGGAGGACAAAGTACAGGAGCAGACCCCAGACAATTGTCAGCGACCCGGCAAAGTAGAACATGTATCTCCACGAAGAGACTCCGCCATTGAGCTTGCCGAAACCGAAGTTGATTAGGGGAGAGAAGATCGAAACATAGCCCGTGCAGCTGTACCAAATACTGTGTATGAATGTTAGTATACTCTCAAACTCTCCTCGAACCTCTCAGGCCTATATGTCGTAGGTGACTGACGTACCCCATTCGCATGGCTTGCTCGTTCTTCTTGTACCAACTTCCGACAATGAGCATAAACATTGGGCTGATGCCGCTCTCCAGTAGTCCAAGACAGAACCGCTGAGCGTAAAGGTCGCGATAGTTTCTGCATACAGTGGTAAGGATCAAGGTGAGACCCCAAAGAGTGACAATAACCGAGGCGACTCGCTCGATTGGAAATCGTTGGGCCAAAATCATAGTCGGATAGGCACCGACAATGAAACCAAGGTAAAAAATGGCGGCCGACATCGAATATCGATCACCGACCGTCAGGTCCAAGTCGGTTCGCAATCCGAAGAGAGCCTGTGTAACAGCAAATTAGCGGCACGATGGGACACAAGGTCAAGGACCTGACTGGATAGAACGGAGTCTTTACTTACCGCCTGCGAAAGCATGGCCTTGTCATAATACTGGAGACCGTATGTCATGCATAGCACTGGCATCAATCTCCAGTCTATCTTTCTTCTGAGTTTCTTCTCTTCTTTCTCTGTCCATTCATAGTCGCCGGTGTAGCCTTCGAGCACCTTGAGTGCCTCGTCATTGTGGACTGTGTCAACAGCGGCGCTCGTCTTCATCTCTGCAACACCTTCAGGGCGCTCCACTTGCTGAACACTCTCTGCAGACTTGGCGGGATCAGACATGTTTGCTGAAACTTGAAATCGGATGTCAACTTGTAGGATCCCGAACAGATGGCAACATCGTACGAGGGAAATCAAGGCAATGTTATAAAAGAAGCAGGTCTGCCTTAGCGCGACCTGTAATCCGGGGAACCGCGAGCTAACGAGACTTCTCCATGGACAGACTGCAATGCAGGCAGGAGTAGTTGACTGGGGGAGGGCGCTGGATCAGTCGGCCTGCATCGAGAACGTGGCCCCTAATCCCGGGGTTCTGGATCACAGCGTGGCACTCAGTGGGTTGGGTGGCTGTCTCACTGACACGGCATCTCGGTAATTCAATACGGGTTACCGGCCACAAGAAACCTTGCGATGTTGGGGAACAACTACACCGCTTAGGGGTAACCGACCGCCGAGAGCGCCCGTAAACAAGTTGGAAATTCTCCCCCGCAAGGCCATAGCTCGGCGCTACTGAGGGGCCGGCAGATCTTTCTGTGGTTCCTATCAAGCCCCTTGTTGACGGCTTTCTTTCTCATGACCGAAGCAAACGACCCGAGCAAACAATTGCATAGGTACTTGAGACCTGCTTGAAGTCAGGCAAAGTTAGCTTGCCATTGACTAGTATTCTAACAGCACCTCACATTCCAAACCCGTAACTCCACAAGCGAAGCGTCAATATGTCACTGAAAGCTCCTGTTGTTACGTTGCCAGGAGGGAGGGAGACGGTGGTTGTCAAGATGATCAACCCTGTCAACTTTGGGCCGGCTATCCTCAAGCGTTTCATGGCTCCAGATGTTCCGGGTCTGGAAACTTTCAAGACGTCTCCTTCTCTCTGCTTCCTTCTGGAGCATCCTTCAGGTCGGAAGCTTGTGTGGGATCTAGGGATCAAGAAAGATTACAACAACTATGCGCCCTCGATAACCAGTTACTTGCCAACAACAAATTACGACATACAGGTGAAGAAAAATGTGGCGGACATTTTGGAAGAAAGTGGTGTTGCTACGGAGGATGTCGAAGCAGTAATCTGGAGGTACGTAGAGAAAAAGTCTTGTTTCTCCTTCAAAACATTCTTTACATGAGGTTTACTACAGTTCTCTAACCTACTGTGTAGCCACTGGCATTGGGATCATATTGGCGACCCATCCACATTCCCGAAAACAACCGACTTGATTGTTGGGCCAGGGTTCAAGGCGGCGATGCTTCCGGGCGCACCTGCAAATCCCGAATCTCCTATACTCGAGAAGGACTATGCGTAAGTTGTTGAAGCACCCCTAGATACGATCAATCAGAACTTGTAACAAATCGAAACTTACGCATTCAAGTGGCCGGAACTTGAGAGAAATCTCATTCGAAGAAGGGCCTCAGACCATTCGCATCGGGCGGTTTCCGGCATTCGACTACTTTGGAGACGGCTCGTTCTACCTGTTAGACAGCCCAGGCCATGCCGTGGGCCATCTTTGCGGACTAGCCCGGACAACACAAAGTCCGGACACATTCATTCTTCTTGGAGGTGATGTCTGTCACTACGCAGGAATATTTCGACCTTCGAAGCATCTGCCCGTTCCCGCGTCAATCTCTCCACATCCTTGCCGGCCACACGAAGACACCGCACTTTGTCCTGGCAGCGCTTGGGACGAGCTCCAGCAGTCTCGGGGCAGAGCCTCCACAGATACGCTCTTCGATGCAACGTTTGGTTTGGACCTTCCTATGGTGGGAAGGACAGTGGGATGTCTCCAAGAATTGGATTGTGACGAGAACATCTTTGTCATTATAGCACATGACTCGACAGTCAGAGACGGTGTGCCTCATTTTCCAAGTGACCTTAACGACTGGAAATCAAACGGCTGGGGGGAGAAAGTCAAATGGTCTTTCTTTCGCGACCTAGAGTCGTACTGGGACTCGAAGGGGCTGCTGTAGTTATCGGGCCTAATTTATAGAATACGCATCGTCCTGCAGTTACCCACCAGAGTGTCCTGAAAACTTACTAAGGCACCTGCAGAGTCAACGTTTATTTAACTTTCGCTTGGCTCCAGCACTCTATTAATCCGCGACTTGGTGTCCCGAAGTCATGTGAATCCTCACATCCCATTTGTGTCATTGAACACTAAGTACTCAGTAGACACCGAAAGTTTAGTCACTTGACGACAGCTCGCTGCAGAGAAACCTCTTCGGCAACTTCATTTTGTGCCGTAATCAGTACCGTAGCGGCTGAAGAACGGGGTAGGCAGTATTTACATGGTCTGAATATTCCGAGTCGCCTGCTAGCCCCTTTAACTATGGTTGGCAATTCACCTGAGGGCTGCATTGCGGTATTACAACTGGAGCATTTCGGCACTTTCCTGATTGGGGTAGCCGAACCCACCGAGCGCGCCGAGCCGAAGTTTGTTTGTCTTCCGCGGTAAGGTTGGGTGACATTCTACCGCCGGCATCCCCGCGAATCCCCTCTTCCGTCTCCACCCAATTCCAAGCCTCAGATCTCTCTAGACCAACTGCGTTGCTCACTGTTCATTATAATTGTGCAAACACCCTAATCCACAAAAGACCACAGAGCATCGAGTCATACTTTTATATCGATAGTACTTCAAGCCCAGATTCGGAACTGTCGTGAACACAGACGCGCGTCAGAGTTCAAGTCAAGCCAGGACTTCGCACAAAGCATTACACCAACCATGGCACAGGGGTCCGAATCGAAGCCCAATGGCACATCGCCATCAAGCTTCCAATCTGCTAATCAAGACCTCGATTACGATGTCTTGATAGTTGGTGGCGGCCTCAGCGGAATCTTTTCACTTTATCGAGTGCGGGAACTGGGGTTGAGAGTAAAAGTCCTTGAAGCCGGTTCTGCTGAAGGAGGCACTTGGTTCTGGTATGGCCACTTTGCAGTAACGATATGTGAAAATTGAGCTAACTTAACTATAGGAACCGATATCCTGGAGCTCGATTTGATTCTGAGAGCTATTCCTACATATTTTCCTTCTCTCAAGAAGTGTTGGACGAGTGGGATTGGACTGAGCATTTCTCGCCTCAGACGGAGACTCTACGCTACATCCAGTACCTCACCAAGAAGTTCGACCTGAAAAAGGACATGCAATTCAACACGCGTATCCGGTCAGCTCGCTTCCAGGAAGACACAAGGTCTTGGCTTTTGACCGATGGAAACGGTGCCACTTACACATGCCGTTACCTGGTGACAGCGATGGGTATTCTCAACGAACCCACTCTGCCAAATATTCCCGGAGTTCACGACTACAAGGGAGAAGCATGGCACACGGCCCGCTGGCCTGGAGACGGCGCCAGTCTTGACGGCAAGCGCGTGGCCATCATCGGCACAGGCGCAACTGCCATCCAGACGATCCAGGAAATTGTCAAGACAGTTGGCTCTTTGACTGTATTCCAGAGGACGCCCAATTGGACTGCACCACTGCGGAATACAAAGATTAGTCCAAAGGAGATGGCCGATATTCGGAGGCGGTATCCTGAGATCTTCCGTCAGTGCTTGGACTCTTACTCGTGTTTCATACATGTCGGTGACACAAGAAGTGTCTTTGACATGGAAGAAAAAGAGCGCCTGGACCATTGGGAGGAACTTTATGCACAGCCTGGGTTTGCAAAGGTGCTTGGCATCTCAGGCGACATTTATACCAACCGCGAAGCGAACAAACTGTACAGTGATTTCCACGCAAACAAAATTCGCCAACGCGTCAACGACCCCAAAGTTGCAGAGAAACTTATTCCGAAGAATCACGGTTTCGGCACTCGTCGAGTCCCGCTTGAAAGTGGCTACTATGAGGCATTCAACAGACCGAATGTCCGCTTGGTTGATATCACAGAGACCCCTATCGATCACATCACGGAAAAGGGAATCAAGACGAGCGAGGAAGACTTTGAATTTGATGTCATCATCTACGCAACAGGGTTCGACGCCATCACTGGATCGTTCCGGGCTGTAGACTTCCAAGGTATCGGGGGCAAACAACTCACAGATGTTTGGAGCGAGGGCATCCAAACTTTCCTTGGCTTAACTGTCAAGGGATTCCCTAACATGTTCATGGTTATGGGACCTCACCAGATGTTTGGCAACATCCCCCGCAGCATCGAGTATGCCGTAGAGTGGGTTGCAGACTTCATCCGGTATGCTCGAGACAATAACATCACATCTGTTGAGGCTACAGATGAAGGTGTCCGCATGTGGACGGATCATGTATGGAAATGCGGAGAAGGTCTTCTGGCTAACGAGGTGGACTCTTGGATGACAGGTGTCAACAAGAACCTCGCTCATAAGCAGAAGAGGTCTATGACACGGTATAATGGGCCTGCACCTGGCTATAGAAAGCGGTGCGACGAGGTGAAGGCCAGGAATTATTCTGATTTTGTGCTTGGATGATCTGATTGTAAGAGAATGTTGGCTGAGGTGGCATTTACTTGAGGATACATCAAACACATGAGATCATTTTACAAGTACCAACGCGTTTGTACAATAAGGCTGTGCTATGTAACCTGAGGCTGGTGTCTTATCCTTGATCAAATCATCAAGCCCTCTGAGTGAGGACCTCTAGATGTTGAAAGTGGAATCTCTAAGATCGCAACAGAAGATGTACATGAGCTGACAGGTAATACGCTTTCCGTTAACTGTTTCACGTCTAGATGTATTGAAGTTCCCCGCGCCTTGAGCTTAAACAGTGCTAGTCCTTCAGATTATTTCAAGCAACGGTGCCTTTCTAATGTTCATGAATCTTGAACTCTCCCGTGGCCGTTGGGTTAGTCAATGCCCAAGTAATCCCACTGTCCGTAGTCTCGTCCCAGTGTTTCGACGCTGATAACTTGTCTCCAAACCGCCTAAATCCGTGAGGAACGCCCTTGTAGACATGAATATCCGTGGGAACACTGTGCTATATTTCAGCGATCACTTGTCCGGGGTCCCAAGCGTAAGAGCCACTCACCCAGCCTCTGCAAGCATCTTGGCGTATAGCAAACCCTCATCTCTCAATGCATCCAAGCCGCAAATTCCAAATGTCGTCGGGGGTAGT